CTCAAAAGATGTGGGCTTTATACTCTTCGCCAGCCTCGTTGCTCTTCTCTGGACACACTCCAGCACCTCAATGTCCTTCTTGTAATGAGGGGCCCAAAACTGGGCACAGTGCTCGAGGTGTGGCCTCACCAGTGCCGAGTACAGGGGCACGATCACTTCCCTACTCCTGCTGACCTCACTATTACCGATACAAGCGAGGATGCCATTCACCTTCTTGGTCACAATATATGTGTTAAGACAAGGTTGGCAAGAGGAATGAAGGAGACTGAATCTACAACTTTGTTGATACAGGAAAGCAGTCAGCTCCAAGTCAGGTGACTAATCAGATGGTTATGGAAATAACAGCTGTGGCAGACAGGATTAAAAAATCCATACAAATGGAGTTCAAGCATTAGGATGCTCACTCTGGACCCTGGAGAACTAGATTCTCCCACAAGGAAAAGTAGGTAGTGAAAAACAGGATTTCATATTGCTCATTTGAGGACTTCTCATTCAAGACAGCCAGCATGGCTTCACTAAGGGCAACTCCTGCCTAACCAACCTAGCAGCTTTCTATGATGGTATGACTACATCAGCAGACAAGGGAAGAGCTACAGATGTCATCTATCTGGACTTCTGTAAGGCCTCCGACACAGTCCCCACAACATCCTTCGCTCTAAATTGGAGACAGATGGATTTGATGGGTGGACTGCTTGACAGATGAGGAATTGGTTGGATTCACCTACATCCAGAGAGTAGTGGTCAACGGCTCTATGTCCAAATGGAAACTGGTGACAAGTGGTGTCCCTCAGGGGTCCGGACTGGGACTGGTGCTGTTTAACATTTTCATCAATGACATAGAGAGCAAGATTGAGTGCACCCTCAGCAAGTCTGCAGACAACACCAGTGGTGTGGTCGACATGCGAAGGACAGGACCTGGACAAGCGGGAGAAGTGGGGCTGTGTACACCTCATGAGGTTCAACAAGGTCAAGTGCAAGGTCCTATGCCTGTGTTGGTGCAACCTCTGCTATCAGTACAGGCTGGGCGATGAAGGGATTGAGAGTAGCCCTGCTGAGAAGGACTTGGGGGTACTGACAGATGAAAAGCTGAACGTGAGCAAATGATGTGCGCTCGCAGCCCTGAAAGCCAACCATATCCTGAGTGGATCAAAAGAAGCGTGGCCAGCAGGGCAAGGGAGGTGATTCTGTCCCTCCGCTCCTCCCTGGCAAGACCCCAGCTGGAATACTGTGTCCAGCTCTGGAGCTCTTAGCACAGGAAAGATATGGACCTGTTGAAGCAGGTCCAGAGGATGGCCACAAAAATTATGAGAGGGCTGGAGCACCTCTCCTGTGAGGAAAGACTGAGAGAGTTGGGGCTGTTCAGCCTGGAAAAGAAGGATGTCGGGAGACCTTATGGCAGCCTTTCAGTATTTAAAGACGGCTTATAAAAAAGATGGGGACAAACTTTTTAGCAGAGCCTGTTGCAATAGGACAAGAGATAATGGTTTTAAACTGAAAGAGGGTAGATTTAGACTAGATACAAGGAAGAAATTTTTTACGAGGGTGGTGAAACCCTAGCACAGGTTGCCAGAGAGGTGGTATACGTCCCATCCCTGGAACCATTCAAGGCCCCGTTGAACAGGGCTCCAAGCAACCAGATCTAGTTGAAGATGGCCCTGCTCATTGCAGGAGGGTTGGACTAGATGACCTCTAAGGGTCCCTTCCAATCCAAACTAGTCTATGATTCCATGATATCCCAAGTGAATATCTTGGCTGTAGAAGTTCATGCTTTTTTCTTTCTCTGCCTTTCCATAAAAAAACCCAGGCTGATCTAGTTTACAGGCTTCACACTGGGAGAATGTGTGTAGCTGAGGATGTTCCCCTTTGTGGTCTGGGATCTTTCTTACGTACTATTTACTGACTAGCTGAAGTGGCTTTCCACAGCATTCAGGCTTTCATGAGCCACATTCTTTTAGATACCTCAAGCTCCTTATTCACTGCCCAATATGACTTAGTATTTAACTACAAGTTAAGGAATCCCAGTGGCAGGGTCGCTTAAATACTGCAACGCTAACAACATACAAGATCCAACCTGAAATATTCAGAATATTAGAATACGAATAAATGAGAATTACTGTAGAACCATTATCTTGATTTGAGAAGTATCTAGCTGTACTAAAACATGAAAACCAAAAAGCTCAACTGATTTGCATATTTGAAACCACTAGCTGTATTTGGGCTTAAGTGCCTATCTAAAATCATGATCTAGAGCCAATACTTTTCACAACACATTCCATGTCAAAAGGCAATGGAAATTCACCATGCCTGACAGTCCCAGGACTTTGTTTATACTACATTTTTCATGGGTTAGCAAGAGACTTCGAAAAACAGTAATTGTAAATGAAAGATGAAAAAGCAGCAGTGATCTGGGAATGAGAAAAAGTATTAATATTCTTAATACGAAGCATTCAGGAAAGGAATAATCAAATTAGAACTTCTTGTGTCACTACAGAGAGAGCTCATGTCCACGCTCCAAAACCAAATGTTCCCAACAATAAAAAAAAAAAAGTGGACAACTTGAAGAAATTCTTAAGTCAGATTGTGGAGAACTCCTGAACCCTCTGCCTCAGATTTGTTATATTCTGTCATTAGAAGTGAGTGCTTCCTTCTGATGAACACTTAGCACATCAAAACTTCTGGACAAGTGAGGACTGAAAGAAATCCTTGATGTGAATCTCATGGTTACTGGGAAACGTTCAGAGCGTAAGGAGGACTGCTCCAGCATTCTCTGTCACTCTGACTTTTTTTTCCCAATACTGGTACTTACTTATTACAATACTGACCCAATGAATAAGTCCCAAGGTATACTGAAAATGCCAGCTCAGAAAGCTCTGCCCTGTATACACAGGCATGTTAATCCTTGCTCTTGCACAAGAGATTTCCTTCCCCTAACACCTTTCTTCCCCTCATACCCCCTTCAAATTTACATGACAGAGAACAAAGGCCCAAGAAAGAGCCAGTTAATGAAAGAAAGAAGAAAAAAATGAAAAAAGGAGGTTAGATATTTCTCTCTTCTTGAAGTGAGCACATTTCCAATTTGTAACAGATTCATCTGCCTCCAAATTATGAAACTAGAATGAGACAACTTTGCAACACAGAGTACTTGGTTCAGCTGAACCGGGCAGATTGACACAAGGCTTGCAGACACACCGCTACCCCTCACCGCTGCACCGTCACAGGGTCTGTTCTTTCTCAGCTCCTGCTTTCTGTTCTGTAACTTCTATCTCTTTTTTGGACAGTAACCATCCCTTCAGCCTCTAGAAGAGTCTCTTTCCTGTTATCAACTTGAGGTTTCACTCTAAGCCTATTCCCTGCTGTTGGCAGAGCTGCTGAAGCTGGCAGCTACCTACTTGTTATTCCTCACCATCTGCCTGTACCACCTCAAACTGCAGAAGCTTCTCTCAGTTGCACACCACCAGTTACTCTGAGGAGAGGTTCAGTCTCTCCTCTTCTTCCCAGAGGTTCAGTTTGGCCCATATTTGATCCATTTGTGGCAATCAGGCTAAGGAAATCTGCAACTTCCCTGCTGGCTGCCTAGCCACAAACCTCTAACAGAAGGTAATGTACAGTTCAGATACACCATTTATCAGCAGTTCTGTGTATCTGTCACATCTTCTATGACTGGTCCATCATGTACTAAGACATCTTTTCATTATGAAAAAAAAAAAGAACATAAAAAGAAACGAGACAATACTTATGGCATTTTGTTTTAAAATTTTTCAAGTTTCCATTTATTAACTTGTATTATTAGGGAATCTTCTGCACTCACACTCTTGTAGCACTTGTAAAACTTCCCTTCTACAATCCACCAGCTAGCAAGGACAGAGAAGACAACTATTATGCTTCTTTCAGGCAGCTGAAGAGAATGATTGCACAGGAGTGATGTCGGCTCACTCTCTGACAGGGGTTAAGAATAATTCATCAGTAGAGCACTTAGCCTTGCTGCCCTAAAAACATACAGCAAAAAAGTCTTTGACTTAAACTCAAGACTCTTCACAATGCATTATTCTTACCTTAGAGCCCACACATTACATTTATGATTTATTAAATATTGTTGCTATTTACTGTTTCCAGGAGCATTAAAAGGATTATTATACTAGTCACTGACTTTTTAAATTTCTTGAGCCTGAGTTTCAAATGTGTTATGGAGATTCAAAGTAGTTGTATATGTACAGCTTCTATTATCTTCTGTCGGGTTTCTGGAAAAACAGCATCACAAAAAAAAAATCTCATTTTCTTAAAAAAAAAAAAAAAAAGAACTCTTTTTATTTCTATTTAAACACCAACAAGCATGTTCTTCTTGCTAATGATGAGCAGTTTACCACACTCGGGAGAGTCAACACAGAGTTGTAGTCAGAGAGCTAGATAACATGTGGATGGTAAGAGAAAGAAGAAAATGGAGAATTATGAGGAAATTTGCAGAAGATGGGTAACAGCTTTTAAATTAAACAATATATTTATCATATATCATCATTACTTTCCTCTGTCTTCTTAGGCACAAGGTTTTGTCTAACTCTACATCTGTGAAACATACGACCGGGTCTGGGGATTGAATTTAGGTGAGATGAACATGAGCATTAGGTTGCTTCGGTCAGTGTGATTACTGATATGCTCTAATAAAGCCACATGATCTTGTTCACAAAAGTTTTGCAAGCTCTGATTTAGAATCTTGTCTTGTATGGTAAGTTGAAGAAGTACAAAACAAAATTCCCAGGAACTGCAGCTGCTTCCAAACATGAATCTTCCAAGCACAGGAAACATAAAGGCTGCTTTGGAACTCCTTCAAGCTTAGACTTTTTTAAACAGAAATTTAGAAAAAGTCTTGTATAATTTTAGCTGCTCATACTGCTTATTTTCCACGTGCTGTCATTATTTGTTCAGTACGTACATTTAACACCTTTGGCCTGCGATGGGCAAGAAAAATGGCAATACCTGTCTGGTCACTGACAGCCACAGAAGTAGAAACAGGCAGGAGGAGGAAGACTGCCATACAAAGCCAAACTATGCAGGATCCAACGTACTTCATCTCCCCCTGGGCACATGTGAACAATCAGCTACAAATCTGAAACAGAAAATCATTGCAGTCAGAACAATCTCTTCTTATTCTTTCCCCTTCACCTCATCAGAAAACTACAAGCAAGAATTTGTTAACTGTAACAAAGAAAGCTGCTAGTCACACACAGAGTGCATCATTTATCTGTTTGAAGGAGCTACACAGAGACTTTTGTACATTTAGAAGTAACAAATACGCTCTTTCAGTCCTTTATTACACTCAGAAGTAACACCTTAGAAATATTAACTCAGAGGTATTAGTCGTAAAGGCACTAAATTTCCATTTCATCAGTAATAACTAATCTTTTATTTTTCTCCCAGGTTTTCAATTTTCAATACATGAGCTGAACTGCTTGGTGTCACAACCCTGCCGGCGACCGCTGAAGGGGCCCTCAAGTCCCACACGGACAGCGTGTCACCGTTTCAGCCGAGGTGCAACAGAAAGCAGAATACTGCCTGGTGAAACACACAAGCGCCTAGAGCAGCTCACATTGAGTTTACAGTTTGGTTCAAACCTCACAAAAACAGAGCCTGGCTTCAACAACGTATCTTCTGTCCCCTCAAGTCGGCATCAGCTTTTTTTCTCAGCCGACTGCAGCATACGGACACACGTGGATTTAATGAAACGCGGAAAACGACAAACAATTTTCTAATCGTCTCTTCTGTAAGAAAAAGCAACTCGCACACCTACGCGGCGGTTTTGGTAACTAATTTCGCCAGGCACCTCGCTCCTCCCCAGCGCCGCT